ACTTGCTGCCGCCGTAGCCACCGCCACGCCGGAGGCTCAGGCCGGCCAGCTGGTTTTCTGGGGACGTCTGGGATACCCGTTTTAAGAGGATGAAACAGCTGAGAGGGAACGGCACCCTCGGGCAGCGTTAGGGGCAGAGTTTGGTCTCCCCCCCCCCACGCTCCTACTCTTCACCTCCGGTGGGAACCCCACCTCTCCCACGTGGAAACTTGAGATCTCGCGTGCCGCAGCCACATGCCAGGAGAAAGGCTTAAAGCCGCGCAGTGGAGATGGACAGGAGGCCTGCGATTTTGTCCTCTATCCCTTCCTGAGCCCCTTCTCACAAAGCCATAAACTAAGGCCCTGACTGGGGAAGGGGACTCTTGCTGCTCTAGGGCCAGACAACATTCACTTTTTGGAGGCAGGTTCTGCTTGGGCAGACCCTAAGGACCTCTGCTTTCCACGAGATCCCAAGACCCAGTGTCTGGGATTTAGCTCAGTGGCTCTGCTGCCTGCCTTGCAAGCACAAGGTCCCAAGTTTGATCCCTGGTACTGGGGGGAAAAAAAAACAACACCCAGTCTTTGATGCACAGGTACTGTACTCTGCAAGTATTGAAGGAAAGAACCTTCCATGCATAGCAAAAGATTAATAAAGATTTTTTTTTTTTTACTTAATCCTGCCCGGGTAAGGGGCTTTATTTGTGAACAAGACAGGCTCCAATCTTGTCCTCACAATTTCTGCTCTAGAGGGGACAGGGGTTACAGCAGAGGATATAAATGAAAAAGTACATAGTCAAGATCTTTCAAAACTGATAAATCAATGTAAACTAGGTGTGGTGGCACACGCCTGTAATCCTAGCACTCAGGAGGCTGAGGCACAAATATCACCACGAGTTTGAGGCCAACGTGGGTGCCACAATGAGTTCAAGGCCAGCCGGAACTGCATAGTAAGACCCTGTCTCAAAAACCAAAAATGAAAAAATATAAATTGATGTAAAGGGAATAAATTAAACCCAGAGTAGTGCCACACGCCTATAATCCCAGCTACTGGGAAGGTTAGGCAGAACTACAAGTTTGAGGCCAGCACGGACAATAAGCAAGAACCTGCTTCAAAATAAAAAATAAAAAAGGCCAGGCCTAGGACTTAGCTCAGTGGTGGCATCACCGCTTGCCTCGAGAAGCAAGGAGCGCAAAGTCTCGCAGGCGCAAAGTCCTGAGTTCAATCCCGGCTACCCACAAAAAATGGTGGGGGGGCTGAGGATGTCGCTCAGAGGTAGAGCTGCTTTCCAAAAGCAACCAAAAGATTTTGAATTGAATCCCCAGGAGGAGGGAGATGGATAAAATCAGGTCAAAGAGACAGTGGGGCGGCAGGACAGGGCAGGTTTGGGTGAGTTTAAAACTGGGTGGTCAGCAGAGGACACAGTGAAGAAGCCACCCCAATGAGGTAACTAGTCCCAGTGGCCTCCTAGGGCCTTTAAGAGACAGGGTAACTAAGGTCCAACGGGGAACTGGGGACAGATGGAGGTCATGGAGGGTAATTTGCAAGGCCTTCAGCAGGGTGGGGCCACTTTAGATAGGCTGGTCAGGGAGGCCTCCCCGCTGCAGGAGGACAATTGAGCAGAGACCTGAATAACAATATGAGGAACTCCAGGAGATCAGCATCTGGAATTCACTCGGGCTGGGCACACCCGGGGGAGGACAGTCGCAGACGCTGGCCCTAACCTCAGGGGGCTCGAATGGAGTGGGTGTGGGGAGAAGAGTTAACAACACTTCCACATTGTGGTGTGGTCAGTACTCGGAAGAAGAGAACTCAGAAAGGTTTGAGGGTGGGGCAGGGTGTCAACGCCACTTCAAACAGTGCAGACAGGATTGCGGCCAAGTGGAGGCAGGGAGGACGGCTATCGCCTTTTAGTGGCCAGTCCAGGCCCAGGTAGAAAGTGGAAGTGTAGGATTACCCCCCTTCCCTGCCCCAGACCCTCCTTCTGTCAGGAAAATCAAAAGACTTGAACTGTCCAAAGTGTTCCAAAGAGCCAGGTGTGGTGGCACACACACCTGTGATCTCGGCCCTTGTTAGACTGAGGCAGGAAGATTGCCCTGAATTTGAAACCAGCCTGAACTACATAGCAAGACCCTGTCTCAACTCCACCCCGCAAAAAATTGTTCAAAAGAGCCCTCTGGATGTGCCCCCATTTCTCTTTCTGTTCTGGTGACGATGGAATTTAGGAACCCAACAACGCCTGTGCATTGAACTACATGCCCAGCCCTTGCAGAGCCTAAGTGTCTGGGCCCAATCTTTTTTTTTTTTTTTTTTTTTTTTTTTTTTACTGGGGATCAAAGTCGTGACCTTGCTCTGCAACACCACTGAGCTAAATTCCCAACCCATGGGCCCAATCTTGTTATCTTCCGACCTCAGCCTCCCAGAGCTCTGGGGTTACAGGCAGCACCACCTCGACCAGTTTTTCAGTTTTTCATTTTTTCCACTGCACTCAATCCCCCACCCCCATATAGGGGCCCATCCCGAGACCTTTTCTTCTACAATGCCCAGGGCCTTTGGCCCGCGCCCTCAGGTTTCACCTCTGCCCTGTGCTTAGCAGACATTGGGAAAAACTGAAGCGTGAAATCCCGGAGCAGTGGGGCACGCCTGTAATCCCAGCATATGGGAGACTGAGGTAGTAGGACAGCATGAGTTCAAGGCCAGCCTGAACTACTTAGAGAAACTGAGACCTGAATAACACTGTCCCCCTTCCTGGATTTACTTTGCTCCGCCACGCCGGTGATCATAACAGGCACACGCATCTGAGAGTTACCTTGAGTACAGTCTGTTCCTCGCCTATAACCCCCCCCCCCACCCCGTGAGCGCGAGGCTATCGCGCGATTTCTTCACAGCGCCTGCCGCAGTGCGCAGTGCGTAGAACAGAGCCTTGCGCAAAGTAGTTCAAAAAAAGGTTCCAGGATAAATTTTACTTGTAATAATATTTGTGCGTCTGTGTGTGTGAGGGAGAGAGAGAGAGAACTCGGGTTTGAACGGAGGGCTTTTGCACTGAGCTATATATCTCCAGCACCTTTTTTCTTATTTTGAGACTTGGTCTCGATAAATCGCTAAATTGCCCAGACTGGACTGCAACCTTCTTGCCTTAGCCTCAGCTTCTCAGTGGGCAACGTACGCCACCCGGGCTGGCTTCTAATAAATGCAACGAAATAGTCCAAATTATTAAACGCCTAGTAAGAAAGGGGGCCTACGATTTCTTGGGGTGCGTGAGGCCGTCCTGTGCCTCAATTTCACCACACCTAAAATGGACTAAGCCTGTCTGTGTGTGTGAATTTAGAGCTCTCAGGTTTTAGCAGCGCGCCGGGCTCAAGATTGGATTCGCCGGCCGGCTGGCCAGGCCCCTGCTGGGCCGCCCCGTCCTCTCCGCCAGGCCCCGCCCTAGTGGGCGGAGCTCC